TTATTGTATGCTGGTATATGTACGTGTGTGTGAGTGGATAGATAGGTGGACTTGGTATACATACATACATACATACATACATACATACATACATACGTACATACACACATACATACATCCTTCACTCCACACCGCCCACTTCATTCAACACTGCTCTCTCTCTCTCTCTCTCTCTCTCTCTCTCTCTCTCTCTCTCTCTCCTGCACTTCTTTCATTGATCGCCCACTTAATAAAATATAAATAGAGCCAGAAATGAAGGCAGCACGGAATTCAAGATGGCCGCCAGACTGCCTTCGTGTAAGCTATAAATTCTATCACTTTTTTCTTTTCCATCGACTTTTGCAACATTGATAGTGTGATTGATTTCCCGTGAGTGTGTCGTCTGCATGTTGCATCGATGTTGTGTGGGGGGGGGAGGGGAGCTGGACAGATATGCAGACAGAGAGGGACAGAAAGGGATAAAAAGACAGACAGAATAAAGAGAATGAATGAAAAAGAGAAATGTTATAATCCTGTTTGGGGGAACGCTGAACACAGACAGACAGACAGACAGACAGCCTTCAGCCCAGCCATGTACCGGTGGTCTGAAGTCCTGGTTGTAACTCTCTCTCTCTCTCTCTCTCTCTCAAACTGTTACTATTTGCAATAAGCAGTTTTCGTACCAACTATAGCAGTTTAAACCACCTGGATGTTGAGTCATTAATCTTGCTCATTTCCTCCCAGGTTCTGTGTGTGTGTGTGTGTGTGTGTGTGTGTGTGTGTCTTTTTTTCCTGAAAATTTGGGAAATAAACCAGCTCTTGGCAATTCAAGGGAACATTAATCGAGAGTTGGCAACTCAAAGTAACATTAATCGACTCTTGGAAACTTAAAGTAACATTAATCGACTCTTGGCAACTCAAAAGTAACATTAATCGACTCTTGGCAACTCAAAGTAACATTAATCGACTCTTGGCAACTCAAAGTAACATTAATCGACTCTTGGCAACTCAAAAGTAACATTAATCGACTCTTGGCAACTCAAAGTAACATTAATCGACTCTTGGCAACTCGTCTCTCCTAACAAGTAACAACCTTCTTTCCCACGGTATTATAAACACTGTTCTCTCTCTCCCTCTTTCTCTCTCTCTAACACATGCGGTAGGGGTGGAGAGAGGATGGGGAATGGTGGTAGAGAGATATAGAGAGAGAGATAAAGAGAGAAAAGTATAACTGGTAACACATAAACCGACTCAACTTAAACCTTGTGATGTCAAAACTCAAAAAGACTGGCCCCAGGGGTACCAACTTGACCTCCTCAAAACAAGCCCCACAATTACCAATGAAATAATTACTTCGCTCCTCAAATCACTGATATAGACATCAGTAAATACCCTAAGCATATATTGAAGTCAAATAGGTAGAAAATAGTGAAAAAATTGGATAAATAGGGAAGATTATGATTATTATTAGATAGAAAGACAGTTGGTACCCCTGGCAGGAGCTCAAAACTCTTGAATATAAGTTTGTTTTGGAGTTTTAGTGTGTGTGTGTGTGTGTGTGTGTGTGTGTGTGTGTGTGTTGTTCCGCCTTAACAGACAGTCTCCAGTAGTCTGTATGTCTGTCTGTGATTGAAATATGAAATTGCCATTGAATAATATTTTAAATTCCACAAAATCAGACGTTATTCTACATTATTCCCTTATTTGGACCACTTAACACACTTACAGACCCACTTAACATACACTCAACACACCCACTTATACACTTAACTCACCCACTTAACACTCATCACCTAATCAACACCCTAACACACCCACTTACACACTTATCACGCACACTTAGTACACACACACACACTTAACACACCCACTCACACACACATAACACACTTACACACTTAGTACACATACTTATCACACCCACTTAACACTCACATACACCGCGAAATTAGCACCAATATTCACAGAGGCAGTTTTAACACACCAGGCGGCTGGGTTGTGCTAATTCTTTCATGTTTTCCCGCTGTAATTCTCTGTTTCAAGAGACTACTGAATTTTAGGTCCTGTTGAATTAATAACGAACATGCTCGGTGTGTGAGTGGGGAGGGAGAGGGAGTGGGGAGAGGGAGAGGGAGTGGGGAGCGAGGGAAAGAGGTAGATAGAAAGAATAACAATGTTTAATAGAGACCGACAAAGGCAGATACAGATATATAAAAACCAAAACACAGAAAAGACAGACAGACAGACGGCAAGAATAGTAATTAAAAAGAAGAGGAATTAATGACAGGAAGACAGATAAACGGGAGCTCATTGGCCACTCGGGATCCAATAGGCAAACAGGTTTAATTAAAGACATTGCGGCATAACCAATGAGGCAGCAGAACCACGCCAAGTTGGTGTTTATTGGCTGCCTGGCATCCACCAAGCCCTCGTGACTGCACAACTACGTGGCTGATTGGCTGTTTGAGGAACCAATAACAAAACAGTATCTCATCGGGAAGGCTTTCTTACTGGCTACTCAGGAGACCAATAAGCCAGCAGCCCCCTCGCTGGGAAGGAGCTGATTGGCCATTGGCATACGAAATAAGCCAATTGCATCACCTGTAAATAACACCAAACATGTCACGGCTTTCCTATTGGCTATATATTCTGGGCAGTATGTAAGCTGAGCGATGATTGGCTCCTAGATGTAGAATACTTCTTAGGAGAAAGGTTTTAATTGGTTAATGACTTACTGCACACGTTAAGTAAGGCGTTGATTGGTTCTATCTCCCTCCATCGTCCCCATCCCGGACTAATAATAAGATATTATTTGTATTATTTATTATTTAGAATTTATGAACACTTCTCTGACATGTGAAATATTTATTATATCATAAGACTGTAATACCTTACCTAACTTAACCTAACCAACCTAACCTAAGCTACCCTAACCTGACCTAACCTAACTTAACCTAACCAACCTAACCTAAGCTACCCTAACCTGACCACTTTGCACTTTAACTGGGGGGTTTCGCCCGGGGGCTTTTGTCCGGACCCGGTGATTATACTTGTAGTGTAGATGGTGTAGTGTACAGTAGATGGTGTAGTGTAGTTGGTGTAGTGTAGATGGTGTAGTTGGTGTAGTGTAGATGGTGTAGTGTAGTTGGTGTAGTGTAGATGGTGTAGTGTAGATGGTGTAGTGTAGTTGGTGTAGTGTAGATGGTGTAGTGTAGATGGTGTAGTGTAGTTGGTGTAGTGTAGATGGTGTAGTTGGTGTAGTGTAGATAGTGTAGTGTAGATGGTGTAGTGTAGTTGGTGTAGTGTAGATGGTGTAGTGTAGTGGCTGTAGTGTAGAGGGTGTGGTGTAGACGGTGTGGTGTAAATGGTGTGGTATAGATAGTGTAGTGTAGACGGTGTAGTGTAGATGGTGTAGCGTGTCGGTTTAGTTCTGACTGACATCATCAACTTGGTGGGCTGCAGTGGTACCAACGACAGTGTAACAAGATGGTTGAAGCTAAGTGAATCGCTTTTTGTCACCCACACCAGAGCCCACCCTCTCCTCCCGCCCACACTACAGCCTACACCCTCACCCATCCTCTCCTCCCGCTCACACACTCACCCACCCTCTCCTCCCGCCTTCAACCTCACCCTATCCCACCCCATCTCCTCCTGCCCACACCCTCACCCGCCCTTACCTCCCTCCCACACCCTCACCATCCCTCTTCTCCCACCCACACAAGTCATAAACACAGCAGACAGAACAATAAACAAATTTGCCAGTCTTGCAGTGGTTGCAAGTCACCATGACAAAATACAACTTTCTACCATCAATGAGAACAATTAACACACACACACACACACACACACACACACACACACACACATACATACATACATACATACACACAATAACACACAGACAGGTATACACATACATTCAAGGTCACCGTTGCCATGAATAAGTTGTGATAGAGACCTGCATTATAAATTCATCTGCCCGCATGACAGCACCTTATACGTGTCACCTCTGGCCCTGACGACAGCTGCGGTGACTGTCCCTCACACACACACATAACTCATACGTACACATACACACAATTTAAACATACATACATACACACAATTTAAACATACATACATACACAACTCATACACACACAACGTAACTTAATGTATACTGTACTCGTCCAGACTGTGTACAGTATATGTCACAGTCAGTGTGCAATTAGTCACTTCTTGATATGACTAGTCGTCTTGTGTAATGTAAACTAACTTAATCTAATTTTAACCTATCCAAACCTATTCTATCCTATCCTATCCTTACCTACCCTAACATTAGATGGGTTAGGTTAGGCAAAACCAGTTTTGGTTAGATTAAATTAGGTGTCCTAATGAAACCTACCTACCCTAACCTAACCCAACCTAACCTAACCTACCTACCCTAACCTAACCCAACCTAACCTACCTACCCTAACCTAACCCAACCTAACCTACCTACCCTAACCTAACCCAACCTAACCTAACCTACCTACCCTAACCCAACCTAACCTAACCTACCTACCCTAACCTAACCCAACCTATTCTAACCTGACCACGACGAACTTAACTAATCTAATGTTCCGTTAAGCTATGGTAGGCTTGGCTTCATAAATATAGTATACAATTGGTTTTGCTATGTTAAACTAGATTAAAATTGTTTACATTACACAAGTTGACTAGTCATTACACGAAATGACTAATTACACACTGACTAACATACCTGTATATTCAGTACCTCCGTGTATTTATCACCTCGGATATAACCGCGTATAGTCAGCCATATTCCAAATCCAAAAGCACACACACTCACCCACTTACTCCGTCAGTCACTTATTCATTAACTCACTCGGGCACTAACTCACTCACTCACATGCACTGACACTCACTCACTCAACAGTCATACTCACCACACTCATTCACTCCGTCAATCGCTCACTCTCTTATTGACAGTCACTTATTCACTCGCTCGCTCACTCATCCACACGGACTCATTAACTCACCTGGTTTAGCCCTCACAGGTACAGCAGATGTCCTCAAAATAGCTTCACTAAGTTCAGTTAGGGTTGCCCCCCTCGGGTAGGTGGGGGGTGGAGGGGGAGGGTAGGATACTGCGAGTCAACCCACGAGTGTGTTTTGTCACTGAGCACTTTACCGTGGCGCAATTCGCTATGACTCACAGAGTTTAAGAGCCGTGTGGGTACGGTGTTAGGAGGAAAGTAACGCACGTCCTCTTGCAGCAACTACCAGCACACTACTGAGTCTGGAGTCGTCTTCCTCCTTCCACAGTCAATGCCACTGGCAACTATAGTGCCCCGCTACGAGACACACCGCGCCAAACTTTTCTCTTCATTTCACTCCCAGCACTAATAATCCGCCCCTCTCTCTCGTTCTTTCTCTTTGAAATCCTCATTAATATCGTATCAACCTTTCTCAAAATGAACGAAAGTTGAGGAGAACGTCTCTCGAATGTATGGTGGTCGTGGTCCAATATTTACGACTTGGCAACTACAGCCGCGCCAAACCCGGCCTGGCCGCGTGTTGCCGACTACTGTTTTTGTTGGCGCTGCCCTGCCGTTCACGACTTGGAGATTGGAGTTTGTTGTAACTAATGTGCGCGAGACTAATGTGAATGATGGAATATTCTTAGCTCAGTCTACTCTATGCTGACAATCATCATGACCATAGGCTCCTTGCACGATAAGCTGAGACTTACTGAATATTCCAAACTCAATTCTGAAACGAGCACGATGGGTAGTTAGAATTAAATGTTGTCACTGTCAAGAATTTTTAAACGCTGTTCAATAGAGCTTAGTTCTTATACTACAAAACGATTTAAAGAACACGTTTTTATTTTCTACGTTAAAAATTATTCCAAATCGTTTCTTCTATCTTGAACTACTGAAGCTGTAAGCAACATCTGTAAACACGTAGATCATGTTCATGTTATACAGCTTCAACGCTTCACAATTAAGGTCTCTAAGTGCATATTTTCTGTTAGTGAATGAATATAGTGATGAACAATATTTAAAGTAGGAAACACATCTCTCTCTTCCTCTCTAAATATCGTCTGTGTCTTGACTCTTGAGAGGTCAATAATAATCTTTTCCTAAGACGGCCAAACTTTTCCTCCTGTGTACGTAATGAGTCCTTCTCTACTGCGGACTCCCGGGTAAAAACCTTAGCTCAAGTATGTTAATTAAGTATGCTAATGACCCTCAGTGTGGCCACGCCAGTTACATGTTATCATTCTGGCTCTTAACGTGAAAATCTTTACTGTTATCAAATGTTTTATTTCCGTCAAAATTATTAGGAAATTATTTTAAAAAAAATCCTTAAGGAGTGTCTAACAATACTGCACATACAAAATTATTAAATTTCTCGACAAATATGTATAAACTTTAATACAAGGAATACATAGAAATGCGTGATTCATGAAACAAACCTGTATTTAGCACTACTGTATTATTTTCAAAGTTATTCACATTTCTTAGATTTATGATGTCTCACAGTGTACTGTGTATATTTTTTATAAACTCTGTATATTATTTAAGATACCTGTCGACTTATTATCAAACACAAAAATAAAAATATCCCTACAATATTCATTGTTGTAATACCACGAGCCTCCTTTACGCCGCTTACCCAACATCCACCACTGGTTACCAGCGGCCAGGTCGTATGTACAGAAGCAGTAGATGTCTCACAAGAGTCGTCGAATTACTCTTGGCTGTCCTGCCAGTCTCCGGTAGTTTCCCGACGATCGGTATCAGTGTAAAGACAAACAACAGGCAGGTAGATTTCCACCAGGTCACAGAAACACACTTGTGCACTGTAGTCTTCTTTAATAAACAGTAATTTTTCACACCACTGTTCACAGGGTAATGTCTTCATAGCTAGACTCAACACTTCGAAATATACTCAGCACATTACCAGTGTACAATTCCTTAGACTTTTCACTTTATATTGCTCACAACAATTAAACAATAATTGCACAATAATTATCTCCAGATGTCCTACTAGGCTTGTACTTCACACTCTGAGCAGAAACAGTCCATTAACTGACAAGGCCGCACGTTGCTGCTTATATACCTCATCAGATGATCCTAGAACACCATAGCACAGCCCAGACAGGTCGAGGAAGTTCTAGTACGTTCTCCTCTGATCGAAGCTTACAATTGTTGGTACAGGGTATATCATAACAAAAATTATGCAATACTTTCCAGAAAATTCTTACCTAGGTAATACATCAATATATACAAGAAATTTTCCCTAAACTTCCCAAAATAACTGTTGCTTGGAATAGAAAATATCAGAAAACTTAGTTTACAAACATTATAGTACCAAATTATGCCTCGGCATAACAATATCCCCTCCCTAATCCTTGTGTTGTCCTGACACACCTATTCACTGTATACAGTTCATAAACTGTAATAGGAGAGGACGGCAGTTAGCTGGGGGTGATGGGGCAGAGTTCTGCCAAACTATTGTGTTAGTTCCCTTTAAAACTAACTCACAGGGCAAATAAATTAATCTCACTTACACCACTGGTCGAATCATCCATTTTCATGACATAAAGAGACTGATTGCCACTACCATCGAAACCATACTTTGTAATCGGTTCAAAGCAGATGGGACTGTCGTGTCCTGCATTAAATCTTAACAGGTATGCTACAGTATTTTTCTGAGTTAACAGTAGCCGTGTAGCTGTATGATCAAGTAACCTCCACTTTAAAATCGGTGATTATGATATTTGAAGGATAACCTGTCATTTTAACATGTAACAAACTTTTATAGGATGGGAATATTTTACAGTTTCTTTCTTTAAGAATGGTACGAAAATAATTGTAAGTACTGTACTCTTGCTCATATTCGTAGTCATCACTTCTGCTAAAACTTCATGAGGAGTTAATGGAGTTTCCGGAATAATTTCTACCTTTTTTAACATTTTTGTTGGTCTCGTTGGAGTTGTTGGGGCAGCCTCTGTACAAATCTTGGCAGCATCAATTCTCCCAGACTCCCTAAGTTTAATTTGTGCTGCGCTACATAAGTTCGTCAGTTGATGTTTCCTTCCTTAAAGGTTGTGTTTTTTTTTTCCTTTTAGATCTTTCACTGGCGTTTTTGAAGTCGATTTGTCTCCTCCCCCGTTTTGATGTGTTTGTATCACTGTTATCTGTGTTCAATATATGGTTGTCAGGCTGTAATTTTATAGCCATATCTAGGTGTACAGACGCCTCAGTGCACTGAAAGCTCTCTCGCAACTACAGCTGCTGCCTGGCACTGTCAGGGTAACTTGTATTATTGCTTTAAGTGATGGTAATAATCTGTATTCACTTATCATGTCCTGACTGGCCTTACCAGCCCCTTTTCTGCGGGCTAAATAATGCTTCGCTACTGTTAGTTCCTCAGATTTTAACTCTATGATATAATGACTGGCAATGACTGAGAGGCACTGCTCGGACAAAAAAAATCAGAGGTAGGGCTGCAAGCCTAAATTCCTCTTAACAGATCAACATTTACACTCGAAAACCGATGATCAATCTCATTTATCATCTGGTCCAGGCATAAATAATATAACTTGTCCCTAACAGTTTCTATAAGATTGTCACTGTGAGGATAAACACAACAGCTGAAAAGTTCCATTACAAATAGAAAAATTTGAATGGATGGCGTTTCCTGTTATTCATAATTCTTTATAAACTTTGCTCTCCCCACATTCAAATATATCAATAATGTAGCAGAAACACAAAGAACGTAATATTACTTATATTAAATGGAATCTGACGAAATCACAGCAGCACAATAACACACAAGCCTCGTGCGGCACTAGCTTCAGTAAGAGGGTTGCCAGGCGATGCCATATTTGCCAATTATCGCCAGAAATTTTGGATCTTGATCACATATTTGCAGCTTCCGGAGAGTAAGTGGAAAACGTGTTTTCCAGCTTTGTTCAGTATTCAGATACGACACAATCTTTATTTTTATATCAGGATAAGTGGGGAATTGTGCTTTTGTTACATGTCAGGAAAAAAAAGGTCAGGGGCTAATCATAAAAGAACTGGGGTTTAAGCTCCGGAAGCCCGAGTCTAACAACGCCAATCAGCTGATTCACTTGAACTCTCCCTAATCCCAAGTCATCTCGACTAAGGATTCATGACACCTGTACTGTCTATGTACACTCTCAGTAAACGTAAATATTAAATGACGATTTTGCTGAATAGATATACTATCTATCTATCAATCTATCTATCTATCTATCTATAACTCCCCACTTATTAGGACCAGCAGCAATTGTATTAGAATGCAATACATATATAATACTTGTGTTACTCATTAAAAAAGTACATTTTCTTCGATACTTAATTTAAAGAAAACAAATTAAAATTTAGGGTAACTCTTTCTTTTCAAGTTTCAAGCTCATTATATCACTTTCCTCAGCCAGGTGTTACGTGCTGATGTTGTATCGTGCTGAAGGTACTCTGGGCATGCGCAGTCCCATCAAAACATCTTCGAAGGCTGAGGAGTGCTGATATTACACCTCAGAATAAAATGTTAGGATAGGTTAGGTTAATTAGGTTAAGTTACTTTTATTATTATTTTAGGTTAGGTTAGGTTTTTGTTCGAATTGCGTATGCCCAGAATATTTTAAGCATGATATAGTCTCAGCCTTTGACGTGATCAATGTATACCTCTACCCCAACTTTGTGAGGTTAGGTTAGGCTGGTTAATCTTTAGGTGAAATAAGCTAGGGTGGAAATTCTTCAGGTGATCCACTATTATTACTATTATTATTATTAGTAGTAGTAGTAGTAATAATAGTAGTATATATATGTTTTATGTGTGTGTGTGTGTGTGTGTGTGTGTGTGGTACAAAAGTCGACCACCAGAAAGGCGCCAAAGAGTCACCCAACACGTGATGCTAAAATATTCATAGTTTACCTTCTTGGTCCTGTGTTTGAAGAGGCGGACGTAAAGCGCTTATCCCTCTCGCTGTGCTCGTGTTGTTACGTCACCATATTGAGTTGTTCGATTCATGTTGGCGGTTTTTGGTCGAAGTGACTTCCTGTTGACCTTCATTTGTATACCTGCACTGTCTAAGTATATTATTTTACGGTCGGTCACGTCTTTGTTACATACTGTTAGCACGTACTGGGCATGCACTGGTTCCTGAATGCATCTGTACCTGCTCCAGTGTTGGTTAAGTCTTGTCTTAGAAGAGCTCACACTCGGTGCCGTCACAACATTCACTGGCAGATTGTTCCAAGAGTTCACAATTCTCA